CTTGTTGTAAAGTCTCATTATATAGTTCTAACATTAAGGGTTCAAATATTTCATACACCATTTTGTAAAATTCCCCTGGGAGATCATCTAGTCCTGGTGTTTTATCACTTTTCTGTTTCAATATTGCTTTTTTCCATTCTATTTGGGTTATTTCTTTATTTAGCATTTCTCTACTTTCCTCCTCTAATGGGAAAGCCATTTTTCTTTGTAGTCATTATTTATAGTTAGTCAATCAATCAATCAATCAATCAATCAATCAATCAATCAATCTGTCTCCTCCAAGTTACCCTAAATCAGCTTCTAATCAATTTATACACTTTCCTTAAATATATTTCTAGGGCTATTTAATTCATACAAATTGCTATAACAAATCTAAATAGGTATTGATAAATAATTTAATAATAAATAATAACTAAATAGACTAAGTACCTACTCATACACACAGTGTATTCCTAATAATTAATTAATTTAAGTTACACATATAGTTAAAGGCAACTTATTGTTCTTAATATATTGAGCATAAATGTTAAGTTAATTGTATATAATTATATATAATGACTGTTCCAATACCGAGTAGCAAACTTCAACTTTGTTTTCTAATATTCCAAAAGAAATGAAAAGGAAAAAAAGAGCTAGTGCCTCCCTCTGACCTTCAGTAAGCTTAACAGTTAGGCAATCCACTTTTAACACCGATCGAGGAAGAGAACTTTTTATTCTTCCAGTTTTAAGTCCTGCAATGGATGTCTATCTTCAGTTGCTACTTTCTCCTCACTCCGCCTACTCCCCTTTCACTGGTTCTTTTTCCTTCAACTTTAATCATTTGGCAATCCACTTTCACTCCACAACAAAAGGTTTAAACCCCCGAGCTATATTCCCACAATGTGCATCTGCCTTCAACTGCTATTTCTCCTCTCTTCGTTTACTTTCCTTTCGTCAGCCTGCCATTTCTCTTGCTAGGAATTTATTCTGTCTGCTCCCCTTTTCTCTGTGTCTCTGCATCTCCGATCGTCTTCTTATGACAATGTCTTTTCTTGGGATGGTTCTTCTCGCCTTAGTTTTAAGCAATTAGGCAGTGTAAACGTAACTCCAAAGTCAAAGGTTTTAAGTCCTCCAATCTTGTCACGGGAACCTGTCTTCAATTACCACTTTTCTTGCAGCTATTTCTCCATCCGCTCCCCCTTTCTCCATTTCTCCACTCATCTTCTTGATCAGGGGTCAGCAAACTGTGCTCTGGAGCTGCATGAGGCTCTTTCATCCCTCTGCTGCGGCTCCTTGTCACTCAAACTATGTGTCACAACTGCCAATGTGCGACACCTGGATGTCAGCACACAGAAGCAGACAGCATTTTTGATTTGAAGCAGGTGGATAATTTAAGTTCGGCTTTTTACTTCATAAATACAAGGACTCAAATAGACGTTGAGTATTTTATTTGAAAATAACCTTCAACCCAGCATCTTTTATTTCAGAATTCAAAACGTTTTTGTTGCATGCAGAAATAAAAATTTGTTTTCTCTGATTTGATTTTTTTTATACATAGCATAAAGGTAAAAAAAATCTGATACATGCAGTGTTATCTTCATTTTAATGTCAAAAGGGTTTTGTGGCTCCCGATGTTTTCTTTTCTGTGGAAAATAGGTCCAAATGGCTCTTTGAGTGTTTAAGATTGCAGACCCCTGTTCTAGGTTATCCGCTTTACTTTCACTATTCATGCTCTCACTACCCAGTCACAGCCATCTCTAGCGATTTTGCTTCTCTCTTTCGAGACTCACTCTCCCACCTTCAATTTCGCCTTCAATTTCACCCACTTTTAGTCCTTCTGCCGCTTTCTTTTTTAACTTACAATATTGGGTTTTCTCCACTCCACTGATATCTCAGTCTCTGATTTCAAATTCTTCCTTGCTCAGCTTGCCAGGCTGTCACAACTACAGGTCCGCCATCATGCCAATGACAGCACATTTTCCACTCTGGATTTGTGGAGTTTTCTCTTTGTTGTGGCCGGCAGTTGCCTTCCACCTTGCCGCCCATTGAGTCTCCCCACTATTGCATTAATCCCTCCAGGATCGATGCACCCTATAAGACCCTCCAGATCTGAAAAACCAGATTTAGGGAGCAGAGCTGTTTACCAGCTTCTGGCTTGTCATGACATCACCACCAGATTAAGTCATTTTTATTGGTATACAATCACTATTTATATGGTTTTAAAATAATAATGTAATAGTATAAAGGGAGGAAGGAAGGAAGGAAGGAAGGAAGGAAGGAAGGAAGGANTCCTATTGCAGATGTCCCCATCTTGAAGGCTGTGATATATGTTACAAGGGCTGATCAGACTAATGGTTATGAGGATATATGGTTACAGGTTTTTTATTTAGAACAGTACAGATAGTCCTTGACTTACAACAGTTCATTTAATGACTATATAAAAATAAAAAAAATAAAAAAAAATATCTAAGATTGACTATGTCACAGGGACACCTGGTAGATTTGTCAAGACTCAGCATGGAGTCTGATCTTGCAAAAATGATTGATTTTGATGATGTGATTCACAATTTTGCCAGTAAAAAGGCTAGGAAAGCATCTTTGTTTAGTAGAATATAAATGTCATTACATCAGAACTATAATAACTGTTATGAGCTTGTAATCAATCTAGTGTTAAATTCATAGTATTGTGCATATTGTTTCATTATTGTTTATATGCTAATGTGTATTATTGTTTTTATTATCTTTTACATAAGTACCTATCCCCTTTTTAATATATTTGCAAGTATATTTGAATGTAATTAATAAATGTACAATTATGACATTATTGATTTTTGTGTCCATGTGTAGGTGAGAGGGCACATATTAGTCTTGTCCAGCACTTAATAATCTCATCGGCAGCACTGGTGTCAGGGAAATAGTTTCTATGTAAGTTCTATGTGGGTATTATGAAAAAAAAATTATCAGAAAAAAATTACTGATTTTTATAATGCTGGTCAGAATCCAGCTGATTGCAATTGCATATTGTAATTTACAATTATGATTGTAGTATTAAATGGTCTGAAAAAAGAATCGAATCAAATGTTTTTATGCAGACATGGTAACTCTTAATGAACTTTGCTGACTTTAGGACTGAAATGACTAGGTGTTAGTAATTTGTTTATAGATAAGAAATGGAATGTGGGGAAAAGAGAGCATATTTTATATTTTAAGAAGCAGTAATAAATTATTAAAGTTGTTTATACTTGCCATAATGTAGATGGGATATGACTTCTTTATATAGTTTTTTTTTACATATGAAGTGTGGTTTATAATTGTTAGTATATCTTTTTCTTTCTTTTCTACTTTTCTTTCTATTTTTTATTTTTCTTTCTATTTTCTATTTTTCTTTCTATTTTTTTATTTTTCTGCAATTTTTACTCTTCTTATATATTTTTTGTTTTGTATCAGTCATTTAATCTTCAATACAATTGAATTAATAATCAATGCAAAGTTGTTTATTTTGCAGTGAATACTTCTTCAGAAAAACATTAAAACATTAACATTTGTACAACATGTAGATTTAAAGAAATGAGGTTCAATACTTTGTAGTTCAGTATTTTATGGGACCATAATAATTGCTTTAGCATGGTGTATACAGGGCCGTGTTTTAAAGCTGTAAAATGGTTATTAATTTTGACATAAAATATCAATGCAAAAACTATATTTTTACCCAGGTTTAATATCTATTGTGTTGGGTGAAGACAACCTTACATTTAAATTAATTTTAGCAGTAGGATAGAGCTTATCTTTGTTCCCTTCTTCAGAAATGCTTCAGCAAAGAGCCACTAACTTTTGGATGTTATTAAATGCAGATTAATGCTTTATTTTAATACGTAGTTTATTAAGCTTTTTACAAAACAAAACATAAAAATCAAATTTAACTTCCAGGGGAGGTTGGAGACCGGACGATAGTTGTTTAAGACGGCTGGATCCAAGGATGGTTTCTTCAGGAGGGGTCTCACCTTCGATTGGTCTATAATTTTGGATTTTTTTGTTATCAGTGTCTTTGGGGATTAATGTAATATAAGCTTCAGCCCAAGATTTTGATTTTTTTTCTTGTTGTAAAGTCTCATTATATAGTTCTAACATTAAGAGTTCAAATNTGGTTTCTACCACATCCCAGACACACCACCTGAGAGGGTTTTTGGCTGATGGGCCAGCTCTTTTTATTTGCCTCATTAAGGCAATTTACTTCATCTTCTGATGTGTCTTCAATGTCAGCTTCACTTTGGTGGATAGCAGTGCATGATGGGCCAGCGATTTTAGTTGCTTCAAGGGGGATCTGGTGGTTCTTTATTGCTGCCAAGGATTGAGTGGACATCTCAGTAGCGTGGCTTCTTCCAACGCTGACTGGAAAGTTACCTCAAGTTTGGCGAGTAAATGGCACTGAATGCAAAGGTCCTTCACCCCGCAAATGAGCTGGTCAAAAAGGGCATCATCAAGGTCTTTGAACTCGCAGTGAAGGGCTGCAGACCTGAGAGCAGTCACATAGTGATTGGTCAATTCTCCCTCCGCCTGGTTCCTATGATAAAAGCATGGTGAAGGGTGATTTTGGAGGGAGATAGAGCATAATGACTTTTTAATTTTTGACAGCAGCATGTCCCAGTGCACCAAGTGGATTGAGATTGATGCAGTGAGAGCCTGGTCAAACATCTCAGTTCCACAAGGTTAAGAAATTGGTGCACTTTCGGTTGCTCAAAATTTCAGTGAAGTCATTAGCTCTGAGGAAACATTTGAACCGCTCCACATAGGACTCCCATGTTTCTGTGGTTGGGCTGAAAGCCACAAATGTGGCAGCCATTCTTGTCAGACTGTGGCGATGAAAATCTGCCTGCGTCTTTAAGAATGTGGAGGCAACGACGTCTTGTTGCCAGTGACTGACTAGTAGTCAGTGGCTCACTCATAGTGAGGCGTTCAGCTCTTGGTTAATGACCAGCCTAATCTGCTGGCTCAAACGTGTATCCCACCTTCCTCACAGTGTTCAATACCGAGAAAATTGGGAGGGTAATCACAGACTGAAGCAAGACAGATGAATCTAACATTTATTTCTAATGAGCAACAACACTAACATAGCAGTAAGCCCAGTGACAGGCAATGAACAGCTGATCTCCCATCTGACAGCTCCCTTTTAGAGTCGGTTGTCAGACAACTGACTAATCAGCTTCCAGCATTGTTCCTGCTAAGGGAACAGACCAGACAGAGAATTTAGAACATGACATATACAACTGGAGAAAAATTTACTTTCTTTACTTTAAGGAATGGGGGGAAAATCCATGTTATGAGAATCAGGATATTGTATTATCAGTGACGTGCAGGCAGAGGAGGCAGGGCCTCACCACTATCATCATGAAAAGGGAAAAAAATGTAAAAGGAAAAAGGCTGAGGTAGTTGCTGCCAGAGTCACAGTGGATGACTCTGCTTAGTACTTAACTATTTAAAAAAGCCTCTTAAAAATGCCTTCTACAGAAGTAGGTGGGAGAACCACGTGCCTCATTTAGTCTATCTTTATGATCACTCGAGCTGAGTTAAGCAAGGGTTGAAAAATTCCTTATGTAGATGAGGCATGTGGTTCTCTCACCTCCTCCTGTAGAGGACACTTTTTAGAGGCTTTTTTAAACAGTTAAGCACTAAGCAGAGTCATCCACTGTGACTCTGGCAGCAACTACCTCAGCCTTTTTCCTTTTACATTTTTTTTTCTTTTCATGATGACAGTGGTGAGGCCCTGCCTCCCTTGCCTCCCCTGACTTCACATCACTGG